AGATTTTGTCTTACCTCAGTATTTCTGAAAAATAGATTTTGTCTTACTTGGAAGAAGATATGTGGTGGTGGCGGAAGTTGAAAAAAAAAGTGGGCTATTTCAAGCCAAGATTGCTAATAGCATGCCACAGTACAGGTAGTCCTCGACTTACAACAGTTCGTTTAGTGACCATTCAAAGTTACAACAGCACTGAATAAAGTGACTTAGGACCGTTTTTCCTCAGTTGTGACTTTTTCAGCATCCCCATGATCATCTGATCAAAATTTGGATGCTTGGCAATTGGTTCATAGTTATGACCATTGCTGTGCCCCAACCTTCTGATAAGCAAAGGCAATGGGGAAGCTAGATTCCCTTAATAACCAGGTATTAACTTATCAACTTCAGTGATTCACTTAACAACTATGTCAAGAAAGGTTGTAAAATGGGACAAAACTCAACAAACGTCTCACAGACATTTTGGGCTCAATTGTGGTCATAAGTCGAGGACTACACATATCCTTGTATATTTCCTTTTTCTTATTTTATTTATTATATAGACTTAGTCTGAAATAAAGATTTCCAAGGAAACCTTGTGATTTTTTTTTAATGAATTGCTATACAGAAGATGTAACTCTAATTAAATATCAACAGTCTGGAGAAAAACTCTTGTATAGTTTGTTCTATCCTGTGGTTATTCTCCTTGTTTAAGGTAAAAGACTGTGATTCAGTTCAGAGATACGTGTTGAATCATGATTTTATCCAATCCTAACCTGGATAAAATCTTAAATGCCTTCTGAAAGCATAGTTCGACTTGTCCAATTACATTATCCCTCCAAATAGATGCCAGTGAGATTTCACCAATATGGACTATGCCTGAGGCATATTGAATACTTACATTTTTCATACCTTGCTTGCTACTACTTCATAACTGCTGTTCAGATACTGGTTGAGGTTATATGTTTCATTAGTCATAACATCCTTTGTTTGATCCAGGTAATCCTCATTTAATGACTGGTCCCTTAGGGACCAAGGTTGCAACAAACCTCCCCAGAACTACTTAAGACTCAGTTCTGGAGTTCGGATGCCTACCCCTGGCAGTCATGTGATTGCAGTTTGGGTGCCTGGCAACGAGCTAGCATTTATGGCCATTTGCAGTGCCCCATGGTCATAGGACTGGTGGTCATAGGTTTCTGGTGTTTACTTCCAATTTCCAGCAGAACATGCCCATTGAAGAAAACTGGTAGCTTAATGATTGCAGCAAAAAAGGTTTTAAAATCAGACACTGTCACATGGTGACTCAATCCCAGTGATAGCTATACTTTCTGGGGTCAGTTATGGTCCCGGGTCGATATTACCTTCTTGTGATATAGGAACTCATCCATCTGGGTATATTCATTGAACCATTGTTAAAAGTACACATGATATGTGCTATCTTTATCATAGTAAAAGCAAACCTAATATGCTATTTTTTTCATTCATTGTGGAATGATATATTGA